TTCGTATATACCCATGGGTCAAAAATTATCACCCCCATAACTCGGTCAAATCTCATCTGATTTCCACGAAGTTTGCCTTTTTCATCATGGTTTTCCCTCTAGATTAATCTGGCATTCAAATCTCGACACCGATTTTTTGGTCGAAATTCATGTCCAAATCTTACCCCAAGATTCGTATATAGACATGGGTCAAAAATTACCACCCCCATAACTCGGTCAAATCTCATCCGATTTTCACGAAGTTTGGCTTTTTCTTAATGGTTTTCCCTCTAGATTAATCTGGCATTCAAATCTCGACACCGATTTTTTGGTCGAAATTCATGTCCAAATCTTACCCCAATATTCGTATATAGACATGGGTCAAAATTTACCACCCCCATATCTCGGCAAAATCTCATCCGATTTTCACGAAGTTTGGCCTTTTCTTCATGGTTTTCCCTCTAGATTAATCTGGCATTCAAGTCTCGACACCGATTTTTTAGTCGAAATGCATGTCCAAATCTTACCCCAAGATTCGTATATAGACATGGGTCAAAATTTACCACCCCCATATCTCGTCCAAATCTCATCCGATTTTCACGAAGGTTGGCTTTTTCTTCATGGTTTTCCCTCTAGATTAATCTGGCATTCAAATCTCGACACCGATTTTTTGGTCGAAATTCATGTCCAAATCTTACCCCAATATTCGTATATAGACATGGGTCAAAAATTACCACCCCATAACTCGGTCAAATCTCATCCGATTTCCACGAAGGTTGGCGTTTTCTTCATGGTTTTCCCTCTAGATTAATCTGGCATTCAAATCTCGACACCGATTTTTTGGTCGAAATTCATGTCCAAATCTTACCCCAAGATTCGTATATAGACATGGGTCAAAAATTACCAACCCCATAACTCGGTCAAATCTCATCCGATTTTCACGAAGTTTGGCTTTTTCTTCATGGTTTTCCCTCTAGATTAATCTGGCATTCAAATCTCGACACCGATTTTTTGGTCGAAATTCATGTCCAAATCTTACCCCAAGATTCGTATATAGACATGGGTCAAAAATTACCACCCCCATAACTCGGTCAAATCTCATCCGATTTTCACGAAGTTTGGCGTTTTCTTTATGGTTTTCCCTCTAGATTATTCTGGCATTCAAATCTCGACACCGATTTTTTGGTCGAAATTCATGTCAAAATCTTACCCCAAGATTCGTATTTAGACATGGGTCAAAAATTACCACCCCCATAACTCGGTCAAATCTCATCCGATTTTCACGAAGCTTGGCGTTTTCTTCATGGTTTTCCCTCTAGATTAATCTGGCATTCAAATCTCGACACCGATTTTTTGGTCGAAATTCATGTCCAAATCTTACCCCAAGATTCGTATATAGACATGGGTCAAAAATTACCAACCCCATAACTCGGTCAAATCTCATCCGATTTTCACGAAGTTTGGCTTTTTCTTCATGGTTTTCCCTCTAGATTAATCTGGCATTTAAATCTCGACACCGATTTTTTGGTCGAAATTCATGTCCAAATCTTACCCCAAGATTCGTATATAGACATGGGTCAAAAATTACCACCCCCATAACTCGGTCAAATCTCATCCGATTTTCACGAAGTTTGGCGTTTCCTTCATGGTTTTCCCTCTAGATTATTCTGGCATTCAAATATGAACACCGATTTTTTAGTCGAAATTCATGTCCAAATCTTACCCCAAGATTCGTATATAGACATGAGTCAAAAATTACCACCCCCATAACTCGATCAAATCTCATTCGATTTTCACGAAGTTTGACTTTTTCTTCATGGTTTTCCCTCTAGATTAATCTGGCATTCAAATTTCGACACCGATTTTTTGGTCGAAATTCATGTCCAAATCTTACCCCATAGACATGGGTCAAAAATTACCACCCCCATAATTCGGTCAAATCTCATCCGATTTTCACGAAGTTTGACTTTTTCTTCGTGGTTTTCCCTCTAGATTAATCTGGCATTCAAATCTCGACACCGATTTTTTGGTCGAAATTCATGTCCAAATCTTACCCCAAGATTCGTATATAGACATGGGTCAAAATTTACCACCCCCATATCTCGGTCAACTCTCATCCGATTTACACGAAGTTTGGCCTTTTCTTCATGGCTTTCCCTCTAGATTAATCTGGCATTCAAATATGAACACCGAATTTTTAGTCGAAATTCATGCCCAAATCTTACCCAAAGATTCGTATATAGACATGGGTCAAAATTTACCACCCCCATATCTCGGCCAAATCTCATCCGATTTCCACGAAGTTTGGCGTTTTCTTCATGGTTTTCCCTCTAGATTAATCTGGCATTCAAATATGAATACCGATTTTTTAGTCGAAATTCATGTCCAAATCTTACCCCAAGATTCGTATATACCCATGGGTCAAAAATTATCACCCCCATAACTCGGTCAAATCTTATCCGATTTCCACGAAGTTTGGCTTTTTCATCATGGTTTTCCCTCAAGATTAATCTGGCATTCAAGTCTCGACACCGATTTTTTAGTCGAAATGCATGTCCAAATCTTACCCCAAGATTCGTATATAGACATGGGTCAAAATTTACCACCCCCATATCTCGGCCAAATCTCATCCGATTTTCACGAAGTTTGGCTTTTTCTTCATGGTTTTCCCTCTAGAATAATCTGGCATTCAAATCTCGACACCGATTTTTTAGTCGAAATTCATGTCCAAATCTTACCCCAAGATTCGTATATAGACATGGGTCAAAAATTACAACCCCAATAACTCGGTCAAATCTCATCCGATTTTCACGAAGTTTGGCTTTTCTTCATGGTTTTCCCTCTAGATTAATCTGGCATTCAAATCTCGACACCGATTTTTTGGTCGAAATTCATGTCCAAATATTACCCCAAGATTCGTATATAGGCATGGGTCAAAAATTACCACCCCCATAACTCGGTCAAATCTCATCCGATTTCCACGAAGGTTGGCTTTTTCTTCATGGTTTTCCCTCTATATTAATCTGGCATTCAAATCTCGACACCGATTTTTTGGTCGAAATTCATGTCCAAATCTTACCCCAAGATTCGTATATAGACATGGGTCAAAAATGACCACCCCCATAACTCGGTCAAATCTCATCCGATTTTCACGAAGTTTGGCTTTTTCTTCATGGTTTTCCCTCTAGATTAATTTGGCATTCAAATCTCGACACCGATTTTTTGGTCGAAATTCATGTCCAAATCTTACCCCAAGATTCGTATATAGACATGGGTCAAAATTTACCACCCCCATAACTCGGTCAAATCTCATCCGATTTTCACGAAGTTTGGCTTTTTCTTCATGGTTTTCCCTCTAGATTAATCTGGCATTCAAGTCTCGACACCGATTTTTAAGTCGAAATGCATGTCCAAATCTTACCCCAAGATTCGTATATAGACATGGGTCATAATTTACCACCCCCATATCTCGGACAAATCTCATCCGATTTTCACGAAGGTTGGCCTTTTCTTCATGTTTTTCCCTCTATATTAATGTGGCATTCAAATCTAGACACTGATTTTTTGGTCGAAATGCATGTCCAAATCTTACCCCAAGATTCGTATATAGACATGGGTCAAAAATTACCACCCCCATAACTCAGTCAAATCTCATCCGATTTTCACGAAGTTTGGCGTTTTCTTCATGGTTTTCCCTCTAGATTAATCTGGCATTCAAATCTCGACACCTATTTTTTGGTCGAAATTCATGTCCAAATCTTACCCCAAGATTCGTATATAGACATGGGTCAAAAATTACCACCCCCATAAATCGGTCAAATCTCATCCGATTTTTACGAAGTTTGGCTTTTTATACCCTGAACCTATTAAAAATGGGTATAACGGTATATTGTATTTGTGCGAAAGCCAAATGTATGTAACTGGCAGAAGGAAGCAACTCCGACCCCATAAAGTATATATATTCTTGATCAGCATAAATAGCTGAGTCGATCTAGCCATGTCCGTCTGTCTGTCCGTCCGTCCGTATGTATGAGTCAAAGGATCTCAGAACCTATAAGAGCTAGAGACTTGAAATTTTAGATTAGATGCTCCTAGCTCCCGCGCAGATCGAGTTTGTTTCCGATAATCGATAACTTACTCTCTTTCCAAGCAATCGATAAAAATCGATATCGATATTCTGTTTTTTGGGCAATTTTGGTAAATAATAAGAACTAGAGTCATCAAACTTGACGTATAGCTTCTAAAACAGAATATATATATGCATTTGATGTTGGAAGAAGGGGGTTCAGGGTATCCCCTTGTCGGGAGCTCCCGACTAGAAACTCCTACTTGTTTTCCAATTATGTTAGAAGCAAGATCAGTTGCCACGTCTCTAGGGGAGTAGCTTATTAACAGTCCCCATTAGAATATGTTCCCTTTAGCCTTAAGATAGTTAAGAATATAGATATCCTCGATTTGTCACGCCCACTTGTATATATATATATATATATATGCATATAATTTTAACATTGTATTTGACGGGGGTACATACGAGTGTACTTATATTCCAAATTTCCACTCTTAAGCTTTACTTGTATTCATTGACGAACAGAAAGACAAACATTGCACCAGTATTGGCAATTCAGCTTTTTCTAACTAAAATGGCTAATTTCATAGATCGTCAGCTGGAAACAATTAAATTTTTAAATTGAATTCACTACCTTGTATACCAATTCCAAGTACTAGCCATTCTGTTTATTGCCAATTCAGTTATTCAAAAAAGCTAATTTAGAAATTTTTAGCTATTTCTTAACATTGAACTTAGCTACTTTCCTGAAGTATAATGGGCAGCACTGCGCATTGCTCAAAGCTAATATACCCTATTTACTTTCTGGCCGTAAAAATATATCCAAACCGCAAAATGAATATATTAACTCTTTGATGCATATATATTAATCTCTTGAGAGTTTTTAATCGATATCCATAAACTTGATACACATATATCTCAATTCATAGCCACGCTCACTCAGTCCAAGCACTCAGTCTTTTTATTTATATCGTAATATCTATATGTAATCCACATGGACTATAGGCGCAACAAGCCAGCTGGCGGCAGGTGTCATTCCCCTATGAAAATATGCAATATCCAAGCTTGCAGTCGCCAGTGCTGCCCATCTCTCGCACACATTCACAAATATGGACCTCTCTTTCGGCAAACCTATGTGAATGTCACGTCGTTTATTTTATTTTAAGTACCAGGCAAATATTTGAGAGTAGGGAAAAATCTAAATAAATAATTAATCAGGCCTATTCAATGTGTTTGCTTCGATAACAAGAAATTCCTTAATTCGATATCGTAAACAATAGCATTTGTCATAAACAAAGCCAAGCGCTCGTAAGCCACAAATTCAGCTTCAGTAGAAAACGCAACTTGTGGCATCGAGTCTGTCGAGCAATAATTGCAGCTTAGGGTTGTGATATAATAAAGTGTGCCTTAAATTTTGAACAATCGAATGGATGCACACGGTGCCAAACGAGCCGCTGAACGTAAGTTGTCAAAATCAAATTAAATCCATTTCTAAATCAGTTTCGACTTCCCTTTCCATAGCCAATGCCTATGAGCAGCTGGCCAAGAAGATCTGGCGTCCCACCATCACCGATTCACAGCTGGCCATGCCCGTTCATATTGATGATTCGCCTCCGCCCGATTCGGAGTCTCTCATGGAGCCGAGTGCAGCGGCCACATCTGGTTTTTTGAATGAGGTACTGAATGCACTCTATGGCGATACCACTGGCCATCCGGAGAACGGCAGCTTTAGCTATCATAAGGCAGCCGAGCATTATGCGCTCTCCGGTGACGATTATCAGCCGCAGACGCAGACGCAGCCCCAGGCTCCACAGCAGACCCAGTCATATGCAGCGGGTGGTGCACAGAAATCGCAGCAGCCGCCGCCGCCCGGCTTCGAGCGAGGAGCTAAGGCACTCTACGATCGCAAGCAGCCAGCAATCGTTGGGCACAGCGCACGTCCTGGCGCTGTAAGTTAATAGAATTTGGCTGCCAAAGTTAACAGATCTTAAGTAAATTGCCTTGAACAACTTTTCCAGAGCTCTGCCTATAGTCAGCTGTTGCCGGGACTGCCGCATCAGCAGGGCTCGCATGGAGGCAGCGATCTAAGCGGTCGCGGGGCCGGACCACCAGGCGCCGCTTCCATTAACGAACTTTCGCAGCTGTATTTGCAGCTGTTGCAGCAGCAACTGCCGCAACAACAGGCACAGCAGCAGCAGCACTTGGTTGCCGGCGCCTCGAACAACATGTCCATGCCCATCTATGGCATGGCCTCGGGCAACGCCAATGACATAACCCAGGTGTATGCCCAGCTGCTGGCGGCCAATTTGCGTCAGAATGCCACACAACATCATCAGCAGCAGCAACTGCAGCACCAGCAACAGCAGCAGCAACAGCATCATCATCAGCATCATCATCAGCAGTTGCACCAGCAGCAGCAACAGCAGCAGCAGCAACAGCAACAGCAACAACAGCAGCAGCAGCAGCAACAGTCGTCCAATGCGGCAGCTGCCGCTATACTCTACGAGGCAATGCTGCAGCAACGCGCGCTACAGCACCATCAGCTGCAGCAACAGCAATTGCAGCAGCAACAGGCGCAGCTGCAGCAGCAACAGCAGCAACAGGCCCAACAAATGCCACGCACGCCGCGGGGCATCTACGGCGGCAACTTCTCAGCTGCTGGCAACAAGCCGCCAACGCCGGACAACAAATAATTAAAAAAAAAAACATACAATTTTACAAAATTTTTGACAATATGTAGTTTCTCAGGCAGAGCTCCATTCGATTATTTTGCAATTTTTTTTTGTCGGCCAACAAAATAATTTTACAAATTTATTTCAACATATTTTTACAGAACTCTATTTGTTTATTTCAAATAAAACCAAATATTTGGCTTTATATTATCATAAATCAATCAAGATCTCCTACAGATCCTGAGTTTCATGGGCATCAGACAGATATATATATATATATATATATATATATATATATATATATATATATATATATATATATATATATATATATATATATGATTTAATTATGGTTTACATATGGTAAGATATAGATAGATTTGTCAGAGCATAAATTTCTTTTTATTACGAAATGTGTAACATTTTTAAGAAAACGGTCGCCGACCACGCGAGGTATATATATAATTGATCATTATCAATTAGACTTTCAGTTTAGAAATGCGTCCGTCTCATCGTTGAAGATATTTGATATTTCGGAATAGATCGGATCGGGCAGGTTTTATGGAAAACATTTTGTTTATCAAGATATCCTAACCCAACTTGGCATTTACATATGTGTTTCGATGTGGTTTTTTAAAGTTCTTTTAGAAAATTTGCACAAAATTCTGTCTTCTTGCTTGAAAAATGTGCTTCAAAATTTGTTAAAAGAGAAAATTGAATTTTCGCTTTTAACTTATATTGTTAGCTCTACAGTGTTAAAAAGAAAACACTTGAAATTTCATTGAATTTTTTAATGCCAACACACGAAAGTAGAATGAAAGAAACATTGTAACTTTTTGTTTGCCATTCGATCCACTTGTTTAATTAGTTAAATAATAGAAATGTTTTTTTTTTTTTTTTAATTATAATTTTTGTTCGCAGTTCTTTTTTTTGTGTAATTTTTCAAACGTTTTTATCGTTTAATTCTGATTGTTTCATTTCATTCCATTGAGTTATGATACTCAGTGCACACTGAGTTTTCATCGAGAATGGTTCGCAGCTTAAGCCACAGGTGCAAAGCCCACGCGATTCTCTCCGAAATCGAATTGTGTATAGAACTGGCCGATGAAGACATCACCAAGAATCCAAAAGTCGGTGTTGATATACGTAAAGCTGGACATGCAGAAGGTGGTGTTGTTCTCCGTGAAGCTGCTTATGTACGCGGAGGCGGGCAGGTTGAAGATGCTGCCGCCAATGTTAAAGCTAAGCACGGGCAGAGAATCCACCGTGGAACAGTCCACATAGTAGTCACCGTCCATAAGGTAGCCACCGATCAGCTGATTGAGCTGCGTGTAGGAGCTGCCAGGGCAGGCCAGCAGGGAGGTGCCCGTATCGGCAATTGCCTGGCAATTTGAGCAAACAACAAAGCCATTCATCACGGCGCTGGTCACCACAAATTGCCAGTAGCCTTCCTGGGAGACTGGGACATAGGTCAGATTGCCGCTGAAGAGCTGATAATCGACGCCACCGAGCACCAGCTGGCCACCGTCCTGGGCGGAGCCAGTGCGTGCCAGATAGAAGCCAAAGCTGGGCTCATCGATCAGACCCTGTTCGTAGAGATTGTAGAAGGGCGGCACCACCTGATCCACGGCAATGGTGCTGTAGCCCATGCCCAGGATGCCATCGAACGGCACGCCAGTGAAGCTGCCATTTGGCTGGGAAATCGCCTCGCCAAAGGTCTGACACGCAATGCTCAGGCCATTGATGGTGACCGTATCGGTGGACAGAAAGCCGGTCAGACTGCCCGTGCCATACTGTATGGAGAAGCTCTGGCCATTGGCCACATACGTGCTGGAGGCGCTTGAATTGTATTGATTGTGATTCTGGCAGGCCACATCGCTGGGCAGACACTGCACCGATGGCACCCACAGATTCGCAGAGCCCGTATCGAAGACCACATTGAAGTACTGCGCGGGCGTGCCAATGCCAATCACCCCGTAGTAGTCCATATTCTGGTTGTTGGACAGCGTCTCGATTGTGTAGTCATCGCTGCTCTCGCTGCTCTCATCGCTGCTGGGATAATCATAGTTGGGCGCCGCATAATCCGGCACATATAGCTCCTGCTGCTGCGGATGGTATTTCTGGTGCAGCCAGCGGGTGGCCGACTTTAGATGCTGGCGTGTCTTCTTGTGCTGGTGCTTGTGTATGGGTACGCGGTGCAGCTCGGCGCTGACCAGCGCCACAAGGGCCAACAGCAGCAGCAGACACTTGAACATTTTGTTTGGTTGTGACATTTTTTTTAGCTATTTTGTAGCCTTGACTGGGCCACTTTGGCGGGCACTGCGGTCAGACACTGCTTTATATATGCCTGCGATAAGGCTAAAGCTGTTTAGGATTGATCACAGTACGATAAAAATGTTTTAAACTTATCGTTAATTGTGGCATAATTGATAAATGAAGTGATTGATACATAGCTGGGCTTGTATACACTCAGAGAAAAAGGTGTAGGTATTCTAAAGTTAATTTATATATATATATATATATATATATTTTAATTATATCTATCATTTTAACTAGTCGATTTTCACACATTTTCCTCTCCACTTGGGCAAGCATTTTGTTTGTAATGAAGCACGACCGATTTTATGTTTTTTTTTTTGTGTCATTTAAACAATCTGATTTTCACTCATTTTCCGCTCGACGTGGTGAATCGCTTGCACGCTTAATAGAATTCCCACGCACTTTCTAGTATAAATACCCTTCCGGGCTTAATATTTATTTTATATTATATCCATCTCATTCATCCATTTCCGGTCACGAATTTTCTTTTATGACTGTATTCAATTCCCATCATTACATTTTGATTTTCACTGTCACTTGCCGCTCATGTGGTGGAACAACTTTTACACATATTTTCATTAAGAACTAAGTCCCAAAGAATTCCCAGTTTCTTTTCCGTTCGGGTGGAACTACTTAGACTAGCAATAGGTTGTTTCTTATTTTTGTTTCTTATTTATCCTTTAGGTCGATTGGACGAAATTAAAATTTCTTTTGTGAAATCATCCTATATATGTCAAATGTTGACCATCATTCATTATTAACAAACCTCCATTATTGCGGAGCTAAAAATTCAATTTCATAAATTTGTTTCAAAAAATGTTAACAAATTGAAATTTTGCATTGCAATTTCGCAAAATGTTTTCGCATTGTCAGCATAGAGATCCGGAGATCTAGTAGGCCAGCTTCAGAGCAAATGTAGCACAATGAAACTTATAAAATGTTATTAAAATACTACACTTCAAAGAACACACACACATATACAAAAATATAAAATATATAAAAATAGCAAAAAAACAAAAAAAAAAAAAATAATAATAAAATAAAAACCAATAATAATATATAAATAAAAAAAAATAAACCGATTCAAAATGAATTATAATGCGATATCGACACAGGAAAAGCCGTTCCTGAAGCTCATGATGGCCGACTGGCATGCCCGAGTCAGTTGTCTTTGTAATGTGGCCAGTGCACGCTGTGCCGATACCTTCGACTTGCGATATTCATCGCGTAAGCTGTGCAATGAGACGCGCATAGAGCGCCACTGGTTAAAAAACGAGACGAATACAGCGCTGGACAATCGGTAAGTTGTACAAGGCCTTTGCGATTGCCAGTATGCTGAGATTTGATATTTGTGCGCAGCATTTTGGAGGTCACAAGCTGGCGTGAGATCATTTCCAAGGCATTTGAGCGCCTGGAGAACGAAATTAATTTGCTGAAGGGGGCGAAAACGGCGGCAGAACAAGAGCTGGATCGAGAGTCACGCCAAATATCGGTGATAAAAGAAATGCTTAGTCTGCGCGACAATCGCATCGCATCCGAGCTGACCTACGACAAGGCGAGCTTTGAGATCAAAAATGAACTGGTCTTATTGGAAAACAATCGGCGTTTGCTGTCGGAACTCATCCAGAAGGCATGGGAGAAGCTTTTACATCTTGAGGAGGTGCGCTTCAAGGTTGATCAAGAAGTCAAGAACAAGCTGGAGACCATAGAGATAGACAGTGCACAAAGGTCGCTAGATAGAAATTCATCTGAAATATCCTACAAAGTGGAGGCTATTCCCCTAGAGTAAGTACAGAAATAGGGGGTTTCTTAAAGGTGCGATGCTTTCTATTTGGTGCCAATGAAGGAATATGACTGCAACTTAAGGTTTCTCATAATGGCCTTCTCATTAAAATCGGAATATTTGCAGCTTCCAGACATATAGTGCATGGTTGGAGCATACACAAAATGTAAAGACGTCGGTGGAAAACGAACTGGTCGATGCAGCTGCCATGCGGGAGGCGCTGCACTTGTGTAGCCTAAAGGCACGCGGCATTCTGGCTGGCCAGGATGAGTGTACCGAAGTCTATATACGCATTCGGGTTTTCCAGACTCAGCAGGTGATCAATGAGCTGTTGTGGCAGCAGATGAGGCTGGGCGAAGAGATGAAAGTGACCGTCTGCGAGATTCAGACGCTGGAGAATGAAGTGCGCGATGCCTCAAAAGATATACGTTTGGCCGAGACGCGACTGGAGAATCGTGCACAACGCTACAAAACTGAACTGTGCCTGGACAATGCACACGATCTTCTGTGTCGGGAGCTGGAAAATCTGCGCGAGATTCGTCGCTGTCTGCAGAACAAGCTGGATGAATTGAGGTTGAATTGGCAAATAATATCGGAGCATGCACAAAAGATCAGCTATGATCTGGATAAGAAGCAGCTTACGCTGATGAATGACAAGCAAATGCTGGTGGAGCGTCAGCACTTCAAGAATGACGAGGCTGGACTGAAGTTGCCCAGTTCGAGTCCCCAGACCGATCGAAATATTGTTCTCACACACACTGAGAATATAACTGAAAAGGACTAAGAATGCATCGAATAATGTAGTGTAATCATTTTTACTTTTAATAAAGTGTCGGAATGAATAGCTGAAAACTGTTGAGAAGATGTTTCATCTATTATCATAAGAAATTTCATATAAATATAATTATTTAGCAACAACTCTCCAGTTAAGCGATATGAAACAAGTACGAGTTCTTTAACACGTTGCGTCTTTAAAACTCTAAAGTTTTGCTTTGCACCGCACTCGTAAACGTTTAAATTTGACATAAGATGTTTTCATATTCATAAGATGTTTCATCCTTAACTATAATATATACCTTACAAATTAAATATGTTGAAACTTAAACTCGCATTACAGCGTATTTATCGTGCCAGCGGAAAAGCTCTTTAATTTTGCTTTGCGTCCCATTCGTAAACGTTTAAATTGTTTTCATATAAAACTATCCTCATACAGAAGATGTTTTATGATCAAATAAAATATATTTATGCACTAACTCACCAATATTGCGGCAATTCTAGACGATTACAGGGTATTTCTCAGGTCACGCCATCTTAAGAGCACTTATCATTTTTTTTGTGTCGCATTCGTAAACGTTTTAGCAACGGCAGCAGCGCTCTAGCAAATGGAAATAAAACAGTTTATTAATTTTAAAAGTATTATTCATAATTTTAAATTAATTCTATTTTAATTAAACTCATAACAAACAACTCATAATTTTTTCCAGTGTTGTCATGCTACTGCGCACTCTTAACGTGCTCTAAAATTACACGTGCTAAGCTCAGGTATTTATCAATGAAGCTATCTTAAGTTCTCGAAATTAATTGAACAAATGTGAGCCCATTATTACTCATCAGTTTTTGAGAGGTAAACAATGCGAATTGTTTACCAATGTTAACCGAATATTATTATCTGTCTTAAGTGTGTCTGATAATGTCTGATAATGCGAAAGTAATCTATAATGGGGTGAAATGTACAGAAATAGGAAAATTATCATAAATAAGGCTTAGGATTTTCAAAGGAAATTGAAATCGGAATCTAAATTTCAAACTGAAATGCCATGTACTCTATGGTAAAATATATGGTGAATTTACTATATATATATATTTTTTGGATAGTTTTAGTTTTAATCCTATAATATTTCAATGTTGTATTCTTACAGACAGTTGAGAGGAATTTCTTGGAAGTGCATATAGTTTTATTAACTTTGGTAGCATGTGTAATAAAATTAAATATGGTGTAACAATTGATAGAAATATGCTATGTAAATAGTCTTATATACATTTTTTTGTTCGATAGTTTATGGTGCAATTTTTATACCCTGGTAAAGATTTGTATTATTCTGAGATCGACGCGTTCATACATGCGGAAAGATGAATAGTCGGAAGGACAGACAGACGGACATAGCTAGATCTACTTGGTAACTGATGCAGATAATGAATATATATGTATATATAATATTATATTTCAATCGGTTCAGAGTTTTAAAGTTCGTTTTAAGAAATCTTTTTCAAGATATTATATATTATATATTATAAAGTCTGAATAGTTTAAGATAATAAATTCTTCCCAATTGATTTAACAGTACTGATGTCGCATGTCATGATACTAGATCTTAGGCGCTATGCCAACGCGTTTGTACTCCATGTCGAACTCCATATAGAAGGGGCCCATAAACACATCACCCAAGACCCAAATGTTAGCGTAGTCCGTGCCACGGTCGTCGGTTAGCTCGGCGCTGCCATCATCCAAGCTGGTGAAGCCCGAAACACACACATCCTTATACTGAACCACATAGCTGGCGGGGGGCAGCACGAAATCGCGCCGACCAATGTTGAATGTGATGCTCGGCAGCGTGGACACACGGGAGCAGGGCAACGTATAGACGCCATCGCGCTTGTCCGCCTCGGTCAGTCCGAGCTGCGCATTGATGCTCTGGAGTGCGGCGCGAGGAGCAACAATTAGTGAGGTGCCGACATCGACAATGGCCTGACACTTGCTGCAGAGCTTGTTGCTGCTGCCGAGGACAATGCTGGCGACGGTGAACTGCCAGTAACCGACCTTGGACAAGGGCACATAGGTCAGGCAGCCGCTGTACAGAGTTGGATCGCTGGGTCCCAGCAGCAGCGTGCCACCATTGGAGTCGATGCTGCCCGTATTGTTGCGATTGAGATAGAACGAGAACGTCGGCTGCGAGATGAGCTCCTGTTCGATCAGATTGTACATGGGCGGCTTGACATCCCCAATCGAGATCTGCTCAAAGCCCAGTCCAAAGATGCCATCGAAGTTGGAGCGACTGAAGACGTCCGGGGGCAGCGAGGTAATCTCCGCAAACGTTTGCCCCTTGATGCTCAGGCCTGCCAGCTGAACGGTGTCCGTGGAGAGGAAACCCTTCAGAATGGTGGCCTGATTGTTGCGCGTGGCGTACTGTATCTCAAAGGCGCTGCCATTGGCCACATAGCTGCTGGACAGGCTGGAGTCGTAGCGCTGCAGCTGCAGACAGCTGTCGGCGGGGCACTGTACCGAGGGCACCCATAGATTGGATGAGGCCGTGTCGAACAATATCTTGAAGGTTTGGCTGCTGCCGATCTTAATGCTGCCATAATATTCCGTATTGTAGGCATTGCCCAGCGGCACTTCCGCATTCCCTTTGCTGGCAGACATAATCTGCAGCGCTCTCACCGTCTTTAGCCCGAACTTGGCACGCAGCGCCGTCGTCTCGTATTGCAGATACTTGAGCGACTCCTCGCGATTTTTCTGCCGCTTCAGCTGCACCTGATGCCCCCTTCTGCGTCGTCTCCCCTCCACGCAGGCGCTAAACAGCAGCAGTTGCAGTAGCGCCAGTCCCAGTAACAAATTCGGCATCCAATTCCAATGCATGTTCTCAACTTAATGTGGCCCGCAATTCATTCAACCTCACGTATTTATAATAATTGTAATACCATATGCGAAAAGTGCCGAATATTTCAAATACTGCTGCGTGCTGCTGTTTATCTCAGGGGCTCAGTTATTTTCTGGGGCATTCAAGAGGATGGATTTGATCAGCTCGGCTCAAGCTAAGAAACGTGCCGCATAGGCAATTTATTATCAAATATAGAAATCGTTTACTTTTTGCTAGTAATAAGAAGCTGCAAAACGCTTGGGATTCTTATGGATAACAACCTTTAAAATATATACATATATATTTTCAAAGATCCAAGTCAAGTTCTAAAATCCCTTAAATCAAAAAAAAAGATATCTGGGCATAATAAATTTGGTATTGTATTTTTCAAGAACAATTTTTAATTTTGATATATTTCTATTCTTCCAAAATTTTGTTTGTGTGGCGCCATCGTGCGGCCGATGGAAGCGCAACTTTCGCCCTCTAACGGCCTGAATCTTGCGCCATCTGTTGGCGAGCAGTGCAGTACTTGTTGAATAGCCAAGACAATAACCAACATTTCCTAATTTCTTAATTATTTTAAAATAGGTTTTTTGTTAATAATTATATTAACATTTTTTTTAAAATAATTAACAAATTTTTTTTTGGAAAATTTAAAAACTTTTTTCATATTTCACCAATGGTTAAAATGAAAAGACTCATGACCAAAGTAAATATTCTAATTTTTTTAAATTAAAAATTGAGTATATAATAAAAAAACCCTAGCATAACACTTTTAATAAAACAATTTAATTTAATAAAAAAAAATAAAATTCAAATATAATTTTACTTTTAATTTTAAGAATATGGAAAAATATGAACCTAATTTTATTCAAAGCCCTTAAGCAAAAATGTATAAGTATAAAAAAGAGCTCAAAGTCTCTAGAACCAAACAAGATATAAATTATATTTATGATTTGATATTAAATCTTTATCTTGCGGAAATAATAAAGATTTGGTTTTGCAGCTTTAACTATGGCCCAGCGATCCGCAATGTATACTTTCCATCCGTCCATACCAATTGCCTGGGGTACTCAATACAAATATTAGAAGAGAGAATAGGCTTAGACTTACAGCATAATTAATTGAAAATTGATTGAATCATTTTTATACATTCGTGCAAATAACTCTGCCTGATCTTTGGCCACAAAACATAAGCAGAAAGTCACATAGGGAAGACCCAAACGTAATACTTCTTTGACTCTTAAGTTAAAAAGAACGCAGCTTAGTCAAGCAGTTGGCCAATACTTTTGGGCCAATAAGCAGCGAAATGAAAGTGATTGCAAAAGTTTTTGCGCAGGCAGCCGCCTCATTGACGCTTAAAATATGCCAAGTTTTATTTGCTAATTGCAGCGGGCCGAAAGGGCAGAGGCAAGTGAATGGGACAAGGGGGCGGGGGGCAGCTGCTGCAGTGTAAACAGCCGCAAGCAGAAAACTTGCAATTCCAATGCTGGCCAAGAGCCATAGAAACAGACAGAGTTGGAGACATAATAGATAGATATAAAGCAAGAGAGAGAGAGAGAGGGCGGGGGTTGCGGGCTAGCCCTGGAGCTGTGACAACGTTTACAGAAATCACACAAAAAACCGCCGCCGGTGGGCAGAAGTTTTCCACAGAAAACTCGAAGGCAACGTTTTTCCGCAAATTTCTTTAGCAAGTTCTGTGTATGTGTGTGTGTGTGTGTGTGTGTGAGTGTGTGTGTGAGTGTGTGGCAAGGGTTTGGGGCGCCACGTTGTAATTGAATTTGCGTCAAGTTCTATTAAGTGGCGTAAACTTTTGGCCTGCGGAATCGAACTTGGCGCCCAGCCGCATGTGCATTTTTCATATGTTTATCGCAGTGTTCAATATAAATGCTCCTCTTCTATCTAACCCCCCATGCCCCTTCACCCACAATTTCCCCTGCTCTAACCCGATGCCACTTGGTTTGTTATTGGGCCGCTTTTTCTGACAAGTCTGCGCAATGAAAGTGACTGCGACGAGACTGAAAAACATTGCCTGCGAGCTGGTAGCTTATTATATCCTAGGACGAGGGTATTGTTAATGTCTTACGAAATATGTAACACATGGAAAAAAATTCTGCAACTACATTGGGTATATATTCTTGATCTATGTCTATGGTCGGTCGAAAATTATGTTCTTGTGTGACAACTTCTTTGTTTATGAAGATATATCAACCAAACTCGTCATTTTTGAATTAAACTCTTCTCCTCATATATATACAAAATCTTTTGAACATCAGATTACTATATCATATAGCCGCCATAGGAGCAATCGATCGAAAATTGATTTCTTGTGTAAAAAACTTTTTTTTGTTTTGAAGATGTCTCGACCAAACTTTAGATATACAGGCTCTACCATGCTTTTACTTATAAACAAGGCTTTGTCCACATTTGGATACATATAGGAAAATTTGGTTGAAAAATCAGATCTCCTGACCAAGCACTATTTGTCTCACATATCTGCAAACTATAAATAAATAAATGAAAAAAACAATTGTCTGCAAAGAAAGCTTTGCAAGGGTATTGAATCTTCCCAGTGCCTTGCTGAGCCTTTATATCTGGTTTTTTGTCTGAGTTAGGAACTGTTCTTATCGCCCAATTGGCTGTCATTTGCCAGTCGACATGTGCGGTTATCAATGAAGCATTAAATTGTATTGCCATTTTAGAGTTTGAGTTGATGTTACAATTCCTTTTTAGATGTGCCCCAAACTGCATGTCTCGCAAAATATCTGCCAATCTCTTTCAAGCATTAGCTGCAAATCTTTGGCAAAACGAAAAAAATCACTTCATTTGTGTTTAGCCGTGCGCACCAGACAATCCACTCATTTCCATTCATTCGCTCATTTATAACGAACATCTTTAGCAAATTTCTAGCCTCGAGCTCATTTCGTATGCAGAGTACCATCAAAAAACTGGACCCTTAGTTATGGCCAATTTATGCATTGTACTCTACATTATGCAAAGTGAAAGGAAAGCAGGAGATGGGCTAGTAGAAAAGTCAAGTGCAAGCGCATTAAATGGTTAATGTTGTACATTTTTTATTAGTTTTTATCAGTTTTCAGTTTTACTATCTGTTACCAGCCCGGGACTAGGTCACGGGGCTCAACAATAAATCGGTAACATACGACGGGGCAAAAAAGCACAAGATGAAGAACCCGAAGCAGGTCGCAGCTGCTGTGCGAGTGCGACGTGTGACATCAAATATTAAGATTGAAAACGGCAGCTGGTGACATGTTTTCAGTTGTATTTCGGGTTTGTTTTCGGCTTTTATTCAACGCTTTACACCCTCTGAGCCATAAAATGGTTAAGACGTGAGCATAATCCCAGATATTGTGAACAAAATTATTTGATATTTACGAGCATATTCAATATATATGGCTTTGCATGTGTGAGAATCCAACACATAATTCTGGCCATACTTTAAGTAGTGAGTAAAAATTAAAAAAAGTTAAAAGCAACGGAAGTCAACACGGCAAGGAAACTAGGATATTTATTTAACGCACACGAAAACATCAAGAAAAAAGTAACGAGCAACTATGAAACACCAAGCAAAAAGTAACGAGTAATTATAAAATTGTATATAACGAGCAACTAGAAACATTAGCTAGACGCAAAGGAGAACAATGAGATCAAACAGAACAATGAGCTGACAGTGATATAGAAAAACTAGCAAGAAAATAGGATAATCAAGCGGGAGAGAAGAAATCAAAAGCAACTAATAACGTCTAGCTTGTAACTAACGAGTAATTAGAGATAATAGATGAGTAAATGAAAACGAGAAAATACAAAAAACTAAAGCATTGCGAGAAAAAAGATTATGAGGACAAAGTAACGAGTAGCTAGAGAAAATTAACAATAAGACTAAATCAACGAGTAGCGAGAATTAAAATTGGTAAAGGGAAGCGATTGTAGCGAGCAGCAATATGTGGATGCTAAAGAGTTGTATTTCGAGACAGAGTTAGTAAGTATAGATTCAAATATATTAAGGCAAATAACAACGAATATGCCATAGGTGACGAGTAAAAGAATTTAATTGTGCTCTGTATTTCCCATTTATGTAAAGCAGCAAAAAGAGGATGTTAAAGAGTTAAAAAAAGGCAATACTATAAACCAGATTGTGCTTCGTCAGACAGATTAAACTGAAAAATGCTGATATTTGATTTGATTATTAATTTGTTTTAGTAATTGGTCAATTAGAGAATTCTCTTCTTGAATTTCTATTTGCCCAATATGTGAAATAAGTCTCAGATATCAACAAAATCTCGCAAAATGAATGAACTGCAAGCAGTTTTCAGCAAAACTCTTTGCACACATTCGCAGTCGACTGAGTCAGGCAGCAAAAACGGCAACAACAACAACAAGAATAATTGCTAACAATAGCCAAGGCCAATTAATTTGTATTTATGGACAGGACGGCTAAACACATTCTGTTTACACTACTCTATACTTAGCTGGGCCCAAAAGCAACAACAACAACAACAGAAGCTTTGCAGGCAAATTGAAAGACTTTTGTGCCTAAAACCAAATAAACATAAAATACACTTGTTGTGCGTGTGTGTGTGTGTGTGCGTGTGTGTGTGTGTGTGCGTGTGTGTGGTTATGTTTGTGTGTGAACACTTCATTAAATTTTGTGAAATGCAACAGCTGCTAGCCTAATAACAGGACAAACCGCAAAACTAACAATGCCCAACAATTTCAACAATTTCTGCAAAATTTTGCAATTGCGCAGAAATTTCTGCTTTTAATATACTTGATTTAATATACGTTTTTTATTGATTGAGGAAATATTTATAAGCTGTTGGCTTAGGCGGTACGATAAGGATTTGGCCCATGTTTTCTGTGGCCCACTGATGGGCTCAGCCAGTCGCCAGGACAATTGACAGGATAAACAAGGACACAGCTCTCCCGAACTCGCATGTAATATGTTGTATATGTATATGTATATGCTGACAACTATTTCGGT